TGTTCACTTTACTCCACTTCTTTGCCCCCTGGCGGATAATGTCAGAAGAAAGGCTGTTCTAGGTCACACCTGGGTCCGTTGTTAAGGACGGCTTGGACAGGGAAGCATTTGCTGGTCTTTCTCAAGACATCGTATGTCCTTGTATGTTCTCAGTGTGTCTCTCCAAGCATTAACCAGGAGCACTGCTTCTAATACGTCATGTGAAGTAGCGCTTTTTGGAGTCATCAGATTCTGGGAGTATAAAGCACAATGGCTGTCAGCATGCTAAACTTAAAACACGGCCTCTACCCATACACACCTTATGGCATGTCTAAAAAGCAAACTGGCTTTTCTGACGCAACTGGAGAAAAATGCCAAAAGGAGTCAGGATTTTGATTGTCAGCCTTGAGAATGGGTGTTATTTCAAAATGTGGACAGAATGGGAAGGAATGGCATTACTCAGAGGGAAGAGACATGAAGCAGGATTCAGTGAGAGAAAGAACATGGTAGGTAGAGAGGATAGAAAGTCACTGATTGTTGCAGACTGGGTTGGGAAACAAAATCAAATGTGCCAAATGGGGCCAGGTAGTAGAGAACCTTTAAAACCAAAGTATTTGTCCACTTGATCTGGTGGACAGTGAGTAGAAGTGTTTGCCCCAGTACCAAGGAATGACCTTTCTCCACCCTCATGCCATCTCAGTTCTCAACTGGGAAGGAAAGGATAGCAGGGTTAGAGTGATTCTGTAGTTCTTTTGAAACGATGAACTTAAATATAATGATTATGTGGATGAACATGAATCCAGAAAGGGTTTGAATTTACCCCGAAGCATTTGCTACCTATTATAGGAGCATAATCATCAGAGAAATGATGCTTCAGACACCCAGTGTCATCAGAAAGTAACAGTAGAAGTTGATGTAGGAAAATCACAGCCTTTGAACCCGTATTCTCAAAAGGAAAATGTTTCTCATGGATCTAAAATGAGAACAGAAAAAGAAATCAAGCTTGTGATCCAGAAACCTAGTCAAGAAGTGCTGATTGCCAAGGCGGTTATTTCACTTAAGGCATTTGCTGTTGAGAAGAAGGATGGTGTGCCAGGATCTGAGATGAAGGACAGAGTCAAGGGGTCTGGGAAGATGGTGCATCAAAGAGGATCGTCCTGCTGGTGAAGAAGCAGCCTGGCTCAGCAGGTGCTGAGTAATTCGGTGAAAGACCAATTTCTCTAATGCTGCAGTCTAGGTTCCAGGTTATATGCTGGATCATAAGCAGTTTGGTTTTTTTTTTAATGCATTTTTCTGTAGCTGTAAACAAAATGGGCAAAAATCGTATTGTGAAGTCTGTCCAAAAAAGGGGAGGGAGAGAGGAAGAGAACTCACCACATCATGGGTAGTTAACTCTTCCTCTCTTGTTTTAAAGCACTGAACAGAGCCAGACAGAGAACACCATCTGGAGGGGGTGTTCCAGTTCAAGAAAGAGGCTGGGGGAAATCCAAACTTGGTTTAGACTGGTTGCTAATTGTAGTGGGGGCTGGCTTAAAAGCATGCTGATTTTATTTTATTTTTTTATGGACATAACCTGTCACAGGGAAAAAGATCTTGTAAGTTCAGTAGTGACTTACAGCGTTTTATCTAATGACTTCAGGAGGTGTGTTCTAGACACTGGTCACACTGGTGACCACCCATGTTAAGGATCTGTACTGACTGGTCGCTCGCTGGCCATCATGCACTGGGACCATATGGAAAAATGGAAACTCCGTTATGTTTTTGGCATGGGGTCTTAGCACATTGGCAGAGGCTCCCACAGGTGCTGCAGATAAAAAGCAAGACTGATGGTGACTCAGTGGCAGGATGAAGCGATGGGGGAAGACTCTAGGGAAAGCAAAGACTGAGACTATCAAGGACGTTTGTGAATAAGGAGGTGGGGGGTAGCGGGGGACAGCATTTGATGTTTCACACAACAGGGTAAGTGTTATTTTGCAATACCATTGTATATTTAAGCAGTGTTTACCAAACTTTCTAATTATAAACTAAGTGGGATCCTTGTCAAAATACAGATTCTCAAACCTGGAATCACTTTCTAGGCAGGGGTCTAGGAAACTCTATTTTTAACAAATGCTCCAGATGAATATCCTTGGCCAAGTTTAGGAAACACTTAGGCCAATTCAGTCAGCCTTAATGTCAGCAAATTGTTGTGATTTTTTTTTATTGTATTTTATTAAAGTATAGTTGATTTACAGTGTTAATTGTCATAATTTTGAGTTAATGTAAATTAATGGACTTTTCTTGTCCTAGTGATAGGTACTTCTGTATCATGTGGCAGTGGAAATATAATAAATATCAGTGTTGACTCATAATTTTAGGGGTCGGTAGCTTATCCTTTGTGTGAAATTTGCCTGTCTTGTAAAAAAAATATTAGGCGCTGTCTTGGGGAGATAAAGATGCACTCAGAGATATGCTGCATTTGTGCCCCTGGGTGCACAGTGGCATCTGCCTCTTTCCATTCTCACTTCATCTCTGTTCCCACTTCACTCTTGTTTTTCCCTCTTCCTCTTGTTCCCTGCATTGTCTCAGAAAATACAACCTTGAGTTACCAAAGTTTTTATCCTGAAAGATGAGTTCGCTTGCTCAGTATAAAATGTAAAAACTTGCAAGGTGACCGGGCCTCTGGTCCCATCAACACTTCATTTTCCCTTCCAGGTCCTCATTTGAGTTAACTTCGTGTGACCCAAGGGTGGCGGCATCTTCCACTTGGTTCTCATCTAGTCTCCTGATTGTCCTGTGCCAGCTGCCAAGCTAGGTGGCCCTTCCACTCCAGTGATTCTTTACCCCTGGTTCCTAGGAAGTGTTTGTTTCTGTTTTATTTCTCTTTGGATGGAGTGGACTGTATACCTGCATCCAGCCTTATCCCTGTAGTAAAATCTAAGATTCTAAGTCACAGAACTGAAATTCACAGACAGTACTATATGGAAGGATCTTGATTTTTCTTTCTGTTTTATATCTCTAACTCAAGGGTGCTTTTCTAGTTTGCAAGAGATTATCAGTCTTACTAGGACATTCCTAATATTTGGTATCTGTGCTTCCCCATTCTGTCTTCCTTACAAACATGCATATTCTCAAGGAGACTTTTCTCGGCTCAGTCCATTTACTTGCATCATCAGAGGACTGCAACTTCTGTAGCTGTCTTCTTTGTGCAGTTCAGGTTATGCATAGATTTTATCCAAAGGCCAATCTAAAGGGAAGTACCTTAGAAGGAAGATGCCTTCCTTTATTTTCTCTTTGGATAAAAATCTTATACGTGCAACTGGAGATTGTTTTTGCTTGTCTAAACCATGTCAATCTTTTTGCTTTTAACAAATCTGGTCACAGTTCACACAAAGAAAGAAATCACCCTGTCCTGCATTTCTCAAAGAGTTTACAATCTATAGACAAGGCAGAAACATGTGAAAAGTAAAATAAGTGTATCAGACTCTACCCCACAGTGTCACACAGCACAGGAAGCTACACAGTAAAAGCCAACTTTATGGTAAGGAGGGAGTTGATTATCTGTAAACATAAACAGATCCAGTTGCTTTTCTCTGACACAGAGAAAATGATTACCTTTCTGGCATCTTCTGGAAGAAGCATAGCATGTCTGTCTGCTTCTTTCTCTCCTTTGCCTCAGAGGTCCATCCCATCATGACCTCTCTCCTTCCTTTGCACGCTGTTGTGCTTCAGTGTTTTTTCCTGAGCATCTTTAGATGTTTTTTAGTCTGCCTCTTAGAGTCCTGAGGCAGATCATCAGGACAGCTGGCTGTTTGCACATTAGGAGGAACCGGATCACAACAGTCTCCAGGACTTCTGATTTCTAGTCAGTAGAGATGAGGATTTCTGTTGGCTCAGGCTGGAGAAATCAGACTACTTGTCTCCGCCCCATATCCTAGTACTGTCTCTTCAGGTCTCACCTTTCTCCTGCCACCTCCTCTCCAGCGCCTCTCCTTCGCCACTCTACAGCGAGCCCGCAGTAAGGTCAGTCAGGTGCCTGGTTTTACTCCCAGCGAGAGAACTTAGGCATGTGACATATACAACGGCAAAGTTGAATCTCATATCCTACCCTCAGCCCCCCTGTCCCTGGAGGGGCACAGGCCAAAACCTTCCCCCATCCAGGTCCTGGGCTCCCTTTGGTTGTGCTCCTTAGCTCAAGCCTTCCTTCTTGGCTCTGTTCTTTAAGGGTGAAGTTCATTCTTCAGGGCTTGGCTCCCACTTTTAGGCCATCATCTGTCCAGTTGGATCTCTGAAAAAGTAAGGGCCTCAACCCTGAAAATTCCACGTTCTTTCTGTCCTTCTCTTCTCCTGCCTCCTATTTCACCACCTCTGTTGAAACTGCTGTTTCAGAAACCACACTCCCAACCTCTCAAGCCTCCTCTGCTCTGATCACAAGCTTTTGTCCTACCTCCTATCCCTCTGGGAAATAAAGTTCTAAAAATTATCTCCACCCTCTCTCCCCCCTTAGAAGTCCCATTCATGAATTAATAGAGCATATTTGCATATTATCAGTTGTCATTGTCTGTCTTACTGTACCATTCAGAGTGTTTCAGTTTGTGCAGTTGCATTTTTAATAAGAGCTGTGCTGTCTTGTTGGGTGATTGGCCCTCGAGTCTAGGTTACTTTAGGGAAGATTAGGTCTCAGCGTTTGCCAGTCAGTCGGGGCTTGGACATGAACGTGCACTACGTGGCACACTGAACAGCTTTTTTGTGGAAAATACTTTGCTAGACGATGCAGGCAGATGTGCTGGAGCTCCGGCTTGACCTCTGTGTTTAGAATTGTCTGTCTGACCCCGACAAGTGGTCTGCTTCAGTGGAAAGTCACCACATTCAGGCCTGTGGCTCTTGTTCAGCCTCTACGCTGTACACTAGTTCAGGATCTGCTGTATTTTTGCCTGGTTAAAACCTGGTCAAGGTAAAAACTACAATAAAATATTCATCCAGAAAGATACCTGATTAATGTTCATCGATAAGTAAATCTGCTTTCTCTGCTTTCATTTCAGATTTGTCCAATATGTGCAGCATTACCTGGAGGCGATCCTAATCATGTCACGGATGACTTTGCAGCTCATCTTACACTTGAACACAGAGCCCCTAGAGATTTAATATCCTTTTGAGATGCAACAAGGGAAAAAGTTGTTTGTAATATTTGTCATTGTGATGACTTTTAACGGCAGTATTCCCAAGGAAAAAATTAACCTCCGAATTATCTTAGTTGATTTGACATTTTCCTAAAAGTGATAACAGCGTTGAGGTGCAATTTCTTATTTCTCTTTTCCCACCCTGTGACCATTACATGAAAAGTGCTCAGTAAGTGAAATTCACTTGCTCATTATCTTCAGTTCTTTGCCATCAGGTTTATTATTTTTTAAGACAATTTGACTAGGTTACAAGTTTTCAGGATGTTTTCATATAAAAGCGGAAAATGCTAATCCAAATTAAAATCTAGTTAGTTCATTAACTGTATGGATGATGTACTTGCTCGCCATCCATGTTCTCTGTTGCCGTAGTTTCTTACAGGCTGGATGGTGGGCAGGTGTGCCCCGTGAGGCTTTCTGCCCATCTGAGTAGGACAGCATAGGTCAGATCCAGTTCTAAATTTCTTTCCCACTTTGATTTCTGCTTCTCCTCCCAAGCCAGTCTCATGATGGTTCCTGACAGTATTCTCTATACTCTCCAAGAGATTACTGGCCCACCAGAGTACATTTATTTGTAGAGTCGGTACTTCTGGTTTCAAGTTATGAATTGTTTTTCTAAAACTATCACCTGTTAACTTAGGGCTGTTTGCTCATGGGAAGGTTTTAGTGTTCATTGCAGTCTGAAGCAATCAAGAGCTAATCACAACCTTTCTCCCTGCCAAACTCCATTCTGATACCTTTGCTTGCCTCCTGGCAATCACAAGACAACCTTAGACTTGGTGTTCCTGTCTTTCAGCTCTCAGCCCTTGATCACAGAACGTAATTTTCTTATTAGAAATTTGACCCTTTAGAGTTTGGGGGAAGATAAGTGGAAACTAATGGAAAGTTTCCCTGGTGGCTCAGATGGTAAAGAATCCGCCTGCAATGCAGGAGACCAGGGTCAGGGAGATCCCTTGGAGAAGGGAAATGGCAGCCCACTCCAGTATTCTTGCCTGGAGAATCTTACAGAGGAGCCTGGCAGGCTGCAGTCCATGAGGTAGCAGAAAGTTGGACATGACTGAGCAACTAACACTTTAACTTTCAAGTGGAAACTAATGGAAAGATAAAGCTATGGAACCTTCCTGAGAAATAAGATCAGCCTGGTCTGAGCCACCCTGGGGCAAGTACTGAATGAACAGAGGAGCCCACTCTTCCTCCCTCCTGAGTGCAGGGGACACTAAAAGCAAAATGAAGAAAGCAGTGCTTACTTATTTTTTGTTTCCCCCAAGAGAACATGAAAACCCAAATGGGTCAAGAATACTTTTAGCCTGTTAGTTACTTCCCATTTTGTATAAAAAAATTCTGTAGCAATACCCAGAAGAGTTATACTTGATCCATTCTTCACTCCATCTTCATGGAGAAGCTAGGCAAAAAATTTTAAAAACCATGCCATTATTCTGCACTTCTCCAGCGGGTTCAAGGACCTCTAGTGAAATCAGCGTCCATTCCATAGAATGTCCCCTGTCATCCACATCCAGTAGATGTGTATGAATCTTTCATTACCAAGAAAAAATAAATTATGTAAAATATGAGAATAAGAGAAGTCATGTGCTGCATTTTAGATTACTAGCAACTATTATCTTTAAATTCTAAAAAGTAAAGTGTTGGCATAGCAGTTTTCCTGGAAATATAACTAATTTGACAAGTTTTTCAAGTGCCACTATGTGATAATTTTGTTTGACATGAGAGAGTGACTTGTTTCTAAGCCTCTTTGTAACCAGGCTTTTTTTTTTTTTTTTTTTTTTTTTTTTGGCTACTTTGATAGAACTCTTCCTAAAGTGTACTTTTTATTATTTTATTTTTTTAAATTTTTTATTTATTTGGCAGAGCTTCCCTGGCAGCTCAGCTGAAAAAGAATCCACCTACAATGCAACCGGGAGACCCCGGTTGTGTCGGGCTCAGTAGCTGCAGTATGGGCTTAGTTGCTCTGAGGCATGTGGGATCTTAGTTCCCCAACCAGGTATCGAACCTGTGTCCCCTGCACTCCAAGGCAGATGCTTAACCACTGGACCACCAGGGGAATCCCTAAGGTGTACTTTTTATACTTTTACAAATAAAGTGTGATGATCATAACATCACTTTCTGTAGAGCCCAAGCCTGTGTCATGAATACCATGAAAGAGTGTGCATTATGGCTGCCCACCCTGTCCCCACATGACTCCTGAACTGGGAATCTAGCACAAAAGTTAGCCTGCATTATGTAGCTGTTCTGTTGGCTGCTTTGTTTGCGTTTTGGGGATTTTTTTTTTAATTAGTGTATAGTTGATTTACAATGTTGTGTTAGTTTCTGCTGAATAACAAAGGAAATCAGTTACACATATATCCCTCTTTTTTAGAATTCTTTTCCTATGTATTGGCAGCTTCAAAAGAAAATCTCTTCTGCTGTAACATGTGCTCCCCCAGGCCCCCTCGCCTCCCTCCTCCCTGTATACTCACACTTGCCTGTGTAGAGACACAGTGTTGTCTTCACAAGTTTTGGCTGCTGTTTGCTTCTCAGGACTTTAAGCTGGTTTGACTTGTTGATAAATGTGCTGTTAACTTTCTGTGTGTCCACTTAACACAAGAAATTCAAATCTGGTTTTCTGCTTAACAGCAGTATTGGCAAAAGAAAACCCAACACATTGACAGATTAAAACTGATAGCTGAAAGGAATCTTTGACTCCTGAAATTTAAATTATTTGTACTATTCCTTTCTTGTTACAGATGGTCACTGAGATTTGATTAGCCTGTATATTAGCACTACTCTCACCAGATATAAAAACTGATGGTTATTATTTGTGGTTACTGTGATATGAATGTATATGGGTTCGGGAATATTTCCCTCTGGGTATCTGACCAGGTGGTACCTTTCACCTTGTCAGGTGATGTTAACTCTGGCCCTTGTAGCTGGAACCTGCGAAGAAACTTCTTCCCATCTGGAGAAGCTTTTTTTTCTCTTTGAAAACACACACACATATATAGTATATACACACAGTATACACATATGTTGCTTTATATTCCTGTGTCCATTTTTAGAGTTAATGGCCTTCGTAGACATAGTTGTGCCATTCGTATTCTAAATGTGCTGTTTTAAAATGCTTGCAATTCGGGAAATCTGCGTGCTTACCCTGCAAGGGCTCACATGACTTCTTTTCTATATGTATTTTATTCTTACTATGAAATACCCGAGTCCTTTTCTTAACCTTGGAGTTATGATGAGTCGAGCGGTGTCCGACATGTACGTAGAATGTTTCACCCTGGCCGGGGGTTAGGAGGTCCTCGTGCGCGCAGATCAAACATGCACTTTACTAGCAGTTCTACTGGTGGACTTTCTTCTTCTCAGAGTTCATATTCTCCAAGCAATAGGGAAGCCATGGATCCTATAGCTGGTAAGTTAGTTTCACATCCTTAAAGGAAATGGCTGGGGATGGGGGGCTCCCTTTAAATTTGGGGAGTAGGATTTATGTCTCAGTCTCTCATCACAGTCCTGTGTTCCTTGACAAAATTCCCTGAAATTCTAAAAAGTGTAAGATATGTTTAAAGTAGACCATGTGGGGAATTCCCTGGTGGTCCAGTGGTTAGGACTCGGTATTCTCACTTTTGAGGGCCCAGGTTCCATCCCGGATCCTGCAAGCCACATAGCAAAAAAATAAAATTATTTTTAAAGTCGAGTAGACCATGTAAAGTAATTCATACTACTCTGACATTTCTTTAAGTACTTAAAGGTTTAAAATGATAAGGAACGTCTGTGTTCTATTTGTGACCTCCAATGAAACCCAAGAAAATCATAGAAGATTTCAGAGTTGAAAGACCTCCGAAATTCTGTGGTTCAACCTCCTTCATAAGCACACAGATAAGAAAACTAATTGACAAGACTAAGGAAATAAGCTCTTCTCATGGAATGAAGTCAAGTAGGAATGTTTTGTACTTGTCTTAATTTGAAAATTATGTTGTTATGAAACATTCATGTTCTAATAGCTTGGGAAAGTCTTACTTAAAAAAATGATTTGAACATGTAATTTGTACCTGGATCTAATGCATGGCCAACCTGGACAACTGGCAGCAGAGCACAAGGTTTGACAGTCAAAATGTCAGAAGTTGTTGTAGCCAGAGACCCTGAAAGACACGCCAGCACAGGTGGGCATTAAGAGTCCAGGAGCCTGTGCAAGGCCAAAATGTGCGCACACAGTGGGATTTGTACCTGAAATGTGCCTAGTGTAAATCTGTCACCAAAAGTACGAACCATGTTACTCATAGAATCTTCTCTAAATTATGAGATATTCAGTGTAAAATCTAATTCCAGATGTGCTTTGGGCATTTGGATGTATAAGAAGCCCCAGAAAAACTTCAGTTAGGGATTTTAAAAAACACTGCTTCATCCAAAAGGAATATATTTACCTGCTGTTTTTGGTAACAGGCTCTAAATGTTAAGTGATTTCTGGGGGAAAAATTAAAAATTGAGACATGTTCTCTATTCAGTTTTTTTCTGTCAGTGAAAATTATATTAATGATGGACTATATGAAAAAACGGTGTTAAGAACCTCAAGGATGAAACGACAGTGAGCAGTAAGGCAGAAACTCGCCCTGGAAATGAGTGTTAATGATGAAAAGCTTTGCCAGCCTGGGAATGTCCGAAAGGCAGCCATCGACTCCACATAAGCCGCTGGGAGGAGGCAGGCGCTGCACTTCCCTTGGCCGAGAGGCTCCCAGTGAGCACAGCCTAGTGCGAACGGGAGTCTAGGTGAAACAGGCCGTGCGACCGAGAGCCGTCAGCCTCAGCGGTTGTCACTGCAGCAGTGCCCTGTGACTCGAGAGAGCAGTCCCAGAAGGTTCGAGAGAAAGAAGGCAGAGCGACCACAGTGAGAGACGATGCCGGTCTCTCTCTCGGAGTTAATTCTGAGAGTCATTCAATCATTACATCAATGCTGGAGTGCCTGCTATGTGTCAGGCACTGTTCTAAGAACCAGGAGCAAGCTATGAGCAGTAGACTTGATCCCTGCTTTCTAGGAGGTCATATTGAGAAAGTTTATATTATGCTTGGACCAGTGGATGAAACACCTTAAATACTAAATACCAAGAGAAAGTATAGCTAAATCAACCCATATGCAAACAACTGAAAAACCAATTTGCTGTGTTTCAATTAGAAAGAATTATATGTGAGCTAGTAGTCATATATATGTTTACATTTCCCTCACGCAAGTCCCACCTCCAGAAGGCATCCTAGAAGGTAGTAAGCTCCAAGCTGAGACTGTATGTTGCCCCAGGTTACCTTCCCATTGATGATCGCTTTGAATGTTCGTCTGGTAAAAGGATGATGGTAGCATTTTGTTTCTCTCCTACTGCACTGGACATTAATGTCTTCACTTCCTCTGACAGAGCTTTTATCTCAGTTATCGGGAGTGAGACGTTCTGCAGGAGGACAGCTGAACTCCTCTGGCCCTTCCGCTTCTCAGTTACAACAATTGCAGATGCAGCTGCAGCTCGAACGGCAGCATGCCCAGGCGGCACGGCAGCAACTGGAGACCGCACGCAATGCAACCCGGCGCACTAACACAAGCAGTGTCACCACTACAATCACGCAATCCACAGCAACGACCAACACAGCTAACACAGAAAGCAGTCAGCAAATGATCCAGAACTCCCAGTTTCTTTTAACAAGGTAGTTCATTCATTAATATGACTTCAATAAGTATTTTGTTAGCACTGCAGTCTGAGATGACCTTTGCTCTTTTGTCCTTATGTGTGTTCTTAAAGCCTCGACCTTTGCTCAGACCTTTAAAACTCACAGAAATCTAATCAAAATCTGTATTCAGTATTGCCTCAAAAATAAGAAAAATAATTGTTTACTTTAGATAAACTGGGCTTCCCAGGTAGCACTAATGGTGATAGCCCAGCTAAAGAATCCGTCTGCAATGCAGAAGACTCTGGTTTTATTCCTGGTTTGGGAAGATCCCCTGGAGAAGGAAATGGCAACCCACTCCAATATTCTTGCCTGGAGAATTCCATGGACGGAGGAGCCCAGCAGGCTTTACAGTCCATGTGGTCACAAAGAGTCAGACACAACTAAGCAACTTTCACTTAGATCACCTGTGAATGCTGATAACAGTGTTCTATCAGTATCTCATCATCTGATAGGAATTTCCTTTCCTGCATTGCCCATAAAACATAAGCACAGTATCATCACATATATGGCACATGTTAGGTATAGTTACTGTCATAATGAACACTGCCTTCCTTTTATAGCCAGTTTGAGTCTGCTCTGAAATACCCCAAAGTACAACAGAAGATTTTATAGTGTGGTGGTTTTCTTCTGAGAATTTCTAAAGAAGTGGAATTTAAATGTTTGTGGTTAGCATACACAAAAGTAACTGTTGTAAAAAATGGTTTAGCACAGTGTAAAAAATACTTAGAACACACAGTAAATGGCTCTGCTGAATGGAATAGAGTTCATATTTGTTCTGAAAGCTACCATTAGCAACTGAATATGCTCCTCTGCTAAGACCTCATGGGCATTTTATGTGACTTTTAAAAATAAAGGAATTTTAGAAAGAGCAGTGATGAGTAGACACAGGGTCAGCAGATAATGAACCTGGTTCTAATTTGGACTTTTAGTGGAATAAATAGGAATATAAAGTAAAAACTGCAAAAGGAGGAAAATTAGTGGAATATAGCAGTTACCTCCAAAAAGTAATGTGACAGATGTTAGAAGAAAACATTATTTCCATGTATATTTCTTTTATCTCATGCTTTTAAACTTCTCTTTGTAGTACAGTGGCACATGTGTATAGTTGTAAATAACATATTGTGGATGCAGAATAAAAAATACTTGCCAATTCCTGCAAATAAGACCCCTGTCAAGAGCTCCAGCTTTTTCCAGTTTGGACCTTAGGCAAATCACTTTACTTCTCCAGACTATCATTAAGTTCTATCTTAATATCCCTTGAGTTTTGCCTCATTTGAGTGAGAATTGTTTCGAGGATGAAATGGGAACACTGGTATGTGTATGCCCTAGTTCAATGTCTGGCATATAATAAAGGCCCAATTAACAGTATTTACTATCATTTGTTACGGATCTAAGAAGGAAATTTCAAGTGAGAAGTTTACCCTTTGGATTATTTCTGTAAAGTGAGTAGCTATGCCTGATTATTACCAGAAAATGTTGCTTCAGCATAGAGTAATCACAGAGCCACAGGTGGATCCATCCTGCCACATAATTTAGCAGTACGGACTGACAGACTGCAGGCTTCCAGCTTGTCAGGTTGGGTACCAGCCTCAGAAAGGAACCCTACCAGTGTGTTGTCTGGTGCAGGTTCACTGACCTGTGCGTGGAATGAATGTCCTGTCCCACTGCCCTTTGGAAGAGACATCTTCCACCTCTGTTCCACTCTGGTTTTATTTTGTTTTTGGAGCTCCAGCCTCAGTGAGCTTGATCTGGGACTTTTCTCTGTGCAATTATTCTGCACCACCCCCAGCCCCGCAACCAGGGAATAGTACAGTGGCCTCTGAGTGCTCTCCTTAGATCCTGGTGGTAGCTTCTGGAAGGCCCCCTTCTGTCATCTGATACTGTGCATTGCATAGTACCTAGGAATTGATAGACCACTTTCCACATCTTTCATTGTGTCATTAAATTCTGACTTACAAGGTTTATTTAAGGCAGCATTTCCTTCAAAATATTCCCTGGAACTTTGTATATCTACTGTTGAGTGTCTTCCAACTGGAAATACATAAATGTGCACACTGAGAATCTTCAAGGCCAGGAGAATGGCTGTGACATTTCCAAGTGGAAATCCTTGTCACTGGCCCACAACTGTAATGTGATAGATGTGGGGCTCAAGCCTTGTCTTTGGTCTGTTTGACTGGGGGCAATTCCTATTCCCATTGTCTTGGAATTGATGGTGCAACAGTTTCTTTGGGATCCAACAGTGATGGACCTTTCAGAAACCAACCGTGTAAGTGCCTATGTCAGATTCCAGTCTCTTGGCAATGGAGCCAGCTAGTTTTGCTCACCCCCAATTTGAAGCTTCTTACAAGCTTTGCAGTTACTTCCAGATCCCAGATGAAGATTGGCCCACCAGGAAATCTAGCCCTAGTGCTGTTTTTATCTCCCCCACCCCTTCAGGAGTGAAATCTATTCTCAGTTATTTCTTAAAAATCAAAACTGTAATATTAGAATTACATGATTTCCAAAGATTGGGGGGCCTCAGCCTGCATGTTTCTAGTTTGCCTGTTTGCTATGTAAATAGTTGCCTCTGCATCTTTTCTCTTTATAATAGGTTTGACTTCAGTTTATTTTTCTTTTTAATGCTTTTTCCAAAACTGAGAACATGGAATGTACTTCATTTCTTAGCAGTTTCAAAGTTTTGATTGAGAATATGTAGCCTATTGCTCAGTCTCCTCTTTCAGTATATACTCTCTTGTATCCTTAATTTGGTTTTAATTTTAAATGTCATCAGTCATTTCCTTTCAGTATGGATCTAATGTCGTTACCTTCCAGAACCTTTTGTGTTTTTAAGTTCTGAAATTTAGATCTTTTGTTTTCTGAGCCGTTAATCTAATGGTTGAGTGGTTTGAACTTGATAGCTATGAGATTTTTGAGCATCACTTAACCTCTTCAGTTTCTTCTTCCCGTAAATTGATAATAATGAAACCTAACTTGTAGGATTAGAAGAGATTATCCATACAAAAAACACTTAAAGCCCATAGTGAGTGTCGAGCACATCTCCTCCGTTGCTACTTTGAGATGCCCCCATGCCTTCCAGCCTAGGTGGGACTGTAGAGAACAGGTTCCAGGTGCAGGTGAGCATGGGTTCCAAGTGCACCTGGCTGCCCCTAGGGGTCGCACGTGCCTGCTGGACCTCCCTTCACTATTACCATCTTCCTGTTTGGTACTTTTCCTACCCCAGTGCTTCAATCAGTTTCCCTTTCTTGGACACTAAAAAATGTAGATAAATTAGCAATGAAACTAACCAGGATATTGCCTAACTCATTTAACAGGTTAGTAATAAGAACATGCTAATATCTGTCCGGTCTCCGTGTTGATGAACCAGGTTCCCAGCATGACACAGGTCTCAGAAGTGTATGTGTCAGTTGAGCATAGTGGGCCATTATAAGTCTCAGGTCAGCCTTGTTACAAGGTCCTTGGTAGGAGAAATGTAGGTGTACATGTACATGCTTGTGCACGTGTGTGTTTGTACATGTGTGTTTGCCCTCTCATGCTCCTGGACGTGTCTTTGTTTCGGAAGAATTAGGTAGAAATAATAGAGAAAAGCCAAGAGAACTAGGATTTATTTTCAGTTGACTATTTTAGTCGCTATAGATTTTGGTTTTGGGACCAGTGTTGCTACTTTTCCTCTTTTTACTACCAACTGGTGAAATTCTGGTTAAGGAAATTACTACTTCCCCAAGCATCTAATCTGTTAGAAATTTTGTTTTCCTAGGAGATTTTTCACACCAGTTTTCTCTGTAGGGTGTATGAGAAGTCCAAATGTGTTTCTTCTCATTGAATCTAATTAAAGCATAGATTTGCACCTCAGGGTAACAGTATTGTTACAAGTGTGGGGAATTCACAGCCACATAATTAAGTAGGTAAATTAGAGCAGGGTATTCCAATAATATGTCTTAGACTCTGTGGAGCTCGCATAATGTAGGACATTGTAGAAACTGACCATGCCATTGTTCCTTGACTTTTTACCAATGAGATCTTTTCTTTTTAATTTACACAGGTTGAATGATCCTAAAATGTCTGAAACAGAGCGCCAGTCCATGGAAAGTGAGCGCGCAGACCGCAGCCTCTTTGTCCAAGAGCTCCTTCTATCCACTTTAGTGCGCGAAGAGAGCTCGTCCTCAGACGAGGATGAACGGGGGGAAATGGCAGATTTTGGTGCTATGGGCTGTGTAGATATTATGCCTTTAGATGTTGCTTTAGAAAACCTAAATTTAAAAGAGAGTAATAAAGGAAATGAGCCTCCACCACCTCCTCTTTGATGACATCCCAATTCGCAGACAATGTCCTCTGTGCTGTATTTGCCAATGAAAGTGGACAACAACTATCTTGGGTTTGTTTGGTGATTGTAATTTCAGGTCTGTCACTCTTGTTACATTGTGTACATTCAAAAAGGAAGAGAGAAAAATATATATGATAATCATTTCCACTTAACTAATTTTTACTTCTAGCAGGTAAATGTAGGTAGCAGTGCAGGGGTGATCTCTGCTTCCTGCACCCTGACATGCAGAAGGCTCTCGTAATACTCCACATTCAAACTGAAGAGGAAAATGGAAATCTCTAATGAAGCTGCTGTGTGTATTTATGAATATTAATGAATAAAAACTGCTTGGATGGTTTACCTTAACTACTGCATGAGGTTTTTTGCAGCGTGCATGAGTTTTAGTGACCTTGTTATTTAAGAAATTTAAATACAAGGAGTAAAACTTAAAGCAAACATAAAAGCCCAAAGCTTTCCCAAACATTATTCAATGGTTACGAGGCAAAAGAATCCCTTGAGGAAGTAGCTTTTGAATAATGTCTGCCTGAATCACCTTTCTCTGTGTGCCTCCTCCGCACAAGCCAGCTCTGCAGTGGAGCCTGGGGTCGCAGCCGGTGTCGCTCCGCCCTGTGTGACTGTCCCGTCGCCCTGTCAGTCATCTTCCGTGTGGAGCTCAGCCTGTCTTAACTCATCCGTAGAAGATACACCAGTACAGCTGCTGTGGGAATCTGCTGCAGGCATCTGTGTGTCCTGAAAACAAGTCCTGTTCTCTTTGTTTGAAAAGTTCTTTTTGTGGTTGTTGAAAATTTTTTCAATTGTTAAATATGTTCTATTCAGGTGTAGATGAATTTCATTTATTCACTGTTCAACAAAGTTAACCTGGATTATGTTGTCTTTGTTTTTGAAAATCTCACCTTCTCAATCATATGTTGCGTTATTTATGTATTTGCTTCATAGTTTTGCTGAGACAGATCAGTATCAGGGGAGCTTTGAGGATTTGCCTTCCCAGACTTTGTCAATATATTACAACCAAATTCTTAATGCTAACTTTAGCACCTTTTTATTTATTGGGTTTTTTTTTTCAAGCATAAAAAGTAAAGCCTTTTAATTGAATCATGCCACCTATATGCCTATATTATTAATCCTATGTGTAAAAAAAAAAAATGTACAGCTTTTTTGGGTTTGTTTTGGGGTTTGAAGGGGCCGGGATATTTTTTATTTTCTGTTCCAGTTTTTGTGCATAGACTTTCACAATAGCTCCAAGGCAGGGACAGTGGGTTTGGGGGTCGGGGGGGGGCAGTTTTTGGAATGTAAATTTAGGACTTTTAAAAAAGGTGCGCACAGCTTCTGATAAATTTATAACTAGACTTAACCTAATCATGTCTTGTTCCAGAGCTCTCTCTCCTCTGAGCCCTTCCCTCCATCTCCCCTCTCTCCTCCCATCTGTGTTTCTCTGTTTCTTCAACAAGCATACAGACTCGAGCACCCGCCGGTGTTCTCCTGAGAACTGTGAAGTCCATGTTCATTCAGATGTAACCAAAAAAGATGTCACCCCACATTTCTTAAAAAACAACTGTGGCTTCTCCTCCTCTGAAACTTCAGCCTCCAATGATTTCCAGATACCCTAGCTTTGTTTTCTTTAGTCTCTGTGATGGAAAATGTTTTAAAGGAAAATTTACACAGGCTTCTGGTTACACTAGAAGCCCAGTCCAGTAGGATTTTTTTTTTTTTTCAATCGGTTGTTAAGACGTTTCCAAAACCAGTTTTCAAGCTGTGGTCTTTTCACACACATCTTCTGCACATACGTCACACATTTCAATAAAGCATTTTCAAGACTGTTGGCCACTTGGATTTCTTTGGTGTTGGTGAACTAGCCTAACCATTATTCAGAGATAATATATCTCTAACCTAGTTTTTTGTTTTTGTTTTTTTGTTATTTTCATGCTTGACTTTGGAGGTCCTGATTTTGTATGAATGCATTACTTTGGATGTGAGAAATAGAAATTGTCAATTATGTGCTTTCCCCTTTCTGCACAAATTCTGGGAAAATGTAAGATCCTTCCTTTTTTTAAACATGGTTTGAGGGAACAGCTGTTAAGTCCAGTCAGGGCAGTTTAATTTAACTTAGATGATCAATTTGACACTTCAGAAGAGCTAAAGGTTCATAAAATTCCATCTCATACAGAATACTGTATATTATTTTTTACCAGATATTTTACAAATACCTCACCTCATCCTGTATGTAATCAATAATAATGTATTAGGGTAGAAAGACACAGATTATCAATATAAAAAATATATTTAAGCCCTTCAAATTCTTGTGTCCTTTTCTTTAGTTTCTTAACTAACATCGTATTATTGGAATTACTGAATAAAAATAATTGCGAAGACTGTGATGTAGAGGAGAGAAAATCAATATACCATTGTTTATCTTGGCTACGGCTTCAGGTTTCTTAAGATCCTGAGTTTTGAGAGGTTTTGGTTTGGTTGAGTTTTGAGTGAGTTGTCTAGCGTGTAAGTGTTCTGCAGTACTTGTCTTTACTTCCTGTATGGAAATTATTTAAATCTTTCTGCTCAAGATACTCTGGGAAGAAATTTAACATCATGATTCTTCTAGAACACCTTTCTCCCCCACCTCCCAAAAAAACTAGTGAAGAGGAAGACCTGCAGGGGATGTTGAAACTATATTTGTTTCTATTTCTGTGTAAATATATGGACTAGAATATACTGTGTTTTAAGAATCCAGAAGTTAATTCCTGTTAAATTGTAACTGTGGGTAGGGATTTGTGGGCTTCCCACTCCTGGATATTTAATCACTGAGAACAATGGAATTTTGCAATTTGACTGAAATAGTAGAATCTACCTCATGATGTACTCAGGTGGTTTTCATTCATTTAGTTTTCTAAAACACTAAAGCTCTCTTGAACAAATAGAAATGCCTATGCTTTTATGACCATGGTCCTAAGATATGAGTTCTGTGATTGGCTACAGTGAAATATTTGGATTTGTATTTAGATTGTATCAGTCTTTTGTTTATTTTTCTTTTTAAACCACAGAGTTGAAGCCTAGGTTATGTAGTAGATTCTTATTTCATTTATAATTAGACTCAGGCAATATAAGAGAAGGACCCTTTCCCAATGAACGACCCACAAAGAAATGTAGTTTAGGAAAGCAGATTCCATTACAGTCCATTACTAGACTAACAGAAGCAAGACAAAAATCCATCCGTTCCATTATCTGCCCCCCCAGTTTTTTCCCTCTTGATACTTGAGTTTTCAGTGACGTACAAAGAGATTTTATAATAAGCCTCTCTCTGGTCTGTGGGCCATAGTTAAAAGTAAGGAGTTCCCAGAGTTCTCTCGATGACCCCTCATAGCAAGTGATCCACTTGTGTATTTTACTCCATGGCTCTTGGGAGCCTCGCAGACTTCAGAATCTCATAGCTCTTTTTAAGGCTATATAAGGAAAGGTGGTCAAGAGGAAAGATAGTGGGAGGAGGTGGTTGGCGAAAGGGGGTCTTCTGAATGAAGTTCCAGCCACAGAAAGCATCTGGTAAAACAGGTAAGTGTACTGTAACTGGAGTCTCATATGGTTAGCACAGTAATGGGTAAAAAAATATCTGAGTGTAACAGGAGTGAGTGCTAGAAGCTGTTTAACAAGCGTATCTGTTTTGTAGCATGAGAGAGCTGCCATGTCTCCCTTATTTGCAGACACAATTTTGGAGGTACATGCAAAATTGATTTCGTGTGCAATAAGTAAAATGCCAGGTATGAAACTTTCCCAGAATTATATGCTAAAGTTGGTGTTAATTCCAGCATAAGGGTCAGGCTTTCCCATCCTCTTATTTATTTTGGGGAGGCAGGGGATCAGGGAACCTTTGCCATGCAGCTTGCAGGATCTTAGTTCCCAACCAGGGATTGAACCTGGGCCCCGGCAGTGACAGCGGTGAGACCTAGCCACTGAACCGCCAGGGAACTCCCTGCTCTTTATTGAAGTTTCACTAGGCACTGAAAAACCCCAAATAGCTCTCTCCCTGAGACGTGGTTAACTGAAGCCCCAGGTCCAGGCTGAGGTGGAGAGAGGTTTAAGTTGGAACATGAGATGGAGCAGCAGTTTGCAGACTTGCTGGTCATTTGTAACAATGTTACAAGATTCTTTGGCTTTTAAACATGGCCTTAAATTCATCACAGTATCCCAAAGCCAAGTTTAGATGACTTGTTTCTCAGAATAGTATAAAACTAATTCCTTGTGCCCATTGACCTCAACCATGCCTAAGCAATGCTTTGGCTTTGTTTCTGATTAGTACTCTGATTTTCAACCCATCTCTCTCAAGTAATTGTTGTTTATAAATAACATGAGCTTGGAAAGTTCCTTCTTTAAGGAACCCTACAGCAAGCCTTCATAATTTGGTTAGCAGATTCAAATATGAGAGATTATTCATCTCAGAGAGGCTGGTCCAGAACATGACATCTTAGTTGCTATCAAGTGGGTAGTGCCTTGGTTAGCCACCTCAAATCACAAAGAACAATGCTCCCCTCAAAGTTTCAGGTCTCATAAAGTCAGTAGACCTTTACAGCAGTAGTAAAAGAGATGATTTAAAGAAACCCTTGAGTATGATTTTGTATCCCTAGTTAGCTGTTCTTGGTGTACAGATTGTGCACAAAAGTTGAATGTGTGTGTCTGACCTGAAGCCCTGTGGGCCAGGTGTGCACCCACCCTCCTAGAGTTGCTTTCCTCAGGCCTAGACTGATGAGTTCTAGTCTGAAGAATTCACTGATCCCTTATGAACCAGCAGAAACCTAGTACTTTTGCTTTGCAGACAGTGGGTGTGGCCTGTTCTGTCTGCATAAACCACCATCACCCCGTCTTCTCATTCATACATACTTACTGAGCTCTCAGTGGGTCCAGAGCTTTGGCCTAAGCCTAAGCATAATTTACAACTTGTAGTTTTTACAGACATTCCCCCGTAAGAGGATTCTTCAGAAATGATCCTAGAAGAGTCTTCCTCTATTGGGAGTGTTTTCAAAGGTCACCAAGCCTGTTGCATTTGGTAGAAAAGGTGACAGGTCTGATCTGGTGAGGGAGCTACTCCTTGAAATCTTGTTGTCAGACTGGAGTGAGTGTTTAGAATCCTGCTTTAGACAGGATTTGAAAGCCAAAGTGTTGGTCACTTCAACCCTGTCTGACTCTTAGAGACCCTGTGAACTGTAGCTCACTAGACTCCTCTGTCCTTGGAATTCTCCAGGCAAGAATACTGGAGTGGGTTGTCATTCCCTTCTCCAGGGATCTTCCCAACCCAGGGATTGAACCCAGGTCTCCTGCATTGCAGGCAGATGCTTTTCCTTCTGAGCCACCAAGGAAGCCCAAAGCTGCACAAAAACTGTTGGGACATCCTATTCTGTAAGCTTGGATGAAGTCCCAGCTCCTTTTAGATCTTTTGACTGCAGATAAGAGATTTAAACACTTGAGGTAGAAGCAGTAATATTCTTAAGGTAAGATTTTGCAGTACTAAATCAGCAAGTGTGCCAGACCAACTAGGAAACAGGCCTCAGCCACGCTTTCTTCAAGTTGAAGATTTCATAGATTTTTTTACACCCTAGTCACATAAGCTGTTCTAGCCAAGCACAACTCTTTTATGACCATATGGATTGTAGTTCTTCAGCACTAATGCCACCTGGGAAGCCCCAATAGGACACTAGTTTCACCAATAAAAAGCAACGTTTTGGGATATACAGCATGCTAATGAAAGTTTGCTGCTTCGCAAAAAAGAGCTTGAGTGGACCCAAATGAATGACAGCGACCATGTTCACTGACAACTCTGAATTAAAGTTTTTAAGTAAATTACACTGTAACAGGCTCCCAGACTAATTTACACTGAATCCTTATATGAATTATCTTTTATAACATCATCACTTGTTCACCCAGCTTATCTGTGTTCTGATTTGAATACATTTTGGGGTACATATATATATATAAACAAACTTTGTGTTATACACAGCACTTTTTTTTAAATAAAGTTTTATTAAAGTATAAAGGAGATAAAGCTTCTGACATAGACATCAGAAGGGGGCAGAAAGAGTACCCCTACACAGCACTTTTCATTTTCTTCATGGTGGAGCTTCAGTGACTGTGTTGCTCCCATCTTCGAGTAAGGCTCAACAACAGACATTGTGATACCAGTGTTTTAAATGTTCTGTAGGGAACTTTTGTAGTTTAAAATGCCCCAATGGATCTCTTACTCTTGGCCCTCTCTGCTTCCTCTCCTATCTCCTCTGTCTTCCATCTGTGTGTGTGTTTTGTTAGTGTTTCCAGTGACCCCTGAGGTTTTAGCTCCATTTGCCTGCAGAATTTTCAAGGACCCACCCAAGTTACCCTAAGACCCATTGCCGATGGCACTTGGGATGACCATGAAGACTGCTGAGCCAGAGAGGGGAAGGTGGGGCCTCTGCTCAGTCCAGACAAGGAACTTGGAATAGTTATATACTCACAGCCTCACAGGACAAGTGAGACTACAGAGACAGAACTGGGGAGGAGACCCCAGAACTTTATCTGCACAGCACGAATCCCACCGCCAGAGAGAAGGTTCAAAGCTTGCTCCTCAACAATTTTTTTCCCCCTTCAAACTCCCTATTGGCTTTAAATTTATTTATTTATTTATTTATTTATTTATTTATGGCTGTGCTGGGTTTTCATTGCTGAGCAAGGGCTTTCTCTAGTTGCAGCGAGTGGGGGCTACTCTTCCTTGCAGTGTACAGACTTGTCATTGCAGTGGCTTCTCTTGTTGCAGAGCATGGACTCGACGCATGCGGTAGTTGGACGTGCCTGCAGCACGCAGGCTTA